CATTCAAGGAAAATATGGAGACATTGTTTCAAGAACATTCACTAATATCCAATACATACCCGTGCAAACAAAATCTTTTGAGGACATCGAAATTCTCTTAAGGGACGAGTTAGGAAACCCCATCGCATTTGAACGAGGGAAGTCGATAGTGACACTTCATTTCAGAAAGCAAGCTTCGTCTTATTTTACATAAGAAATATGACTCTAACAAATCGTTATGTTCAATATTATCTCAACCAACAACGAGGATACGGTTCATCACCAGTGTTTAAAGGAGCACCTTGGCAAAGAGGATATGGGCAAGTGGGTTATGGTCTTGGTGGCTTATTTCGCAGTTTAGCTAGAGCTGTAATACCTCTGGCAAAAAGCGGTGCAAAAGCTCTGGGTAAAATTGCTCTTAACACAGGAGCAAACGTTTTAGGCGATGTTATCTCTGGGAAAAGTGTGAAAGAGTCTGCAAAATCGCGAGTAAATCAGGCTGCTAAAGATGTGGGGAAAATGGCTGTAAACAGAATGCAGCAGTTTGCTCAAACAGGAAGAGGAAAGTCTTCAAAGAAACGGTCAAGAAAACCAGCTAAAAAGAGAAAGGCGACGACCTCCATTGCCATTCACAGTTCAGCCAAGAGACGTAAAGCAGCTAAAGAAGCGGAGGACATTTTCGGCTAAATATGGATTTCGTTCATCCAAAATCTGCAGAATGTACAAAAACCGAACTTGATTTATTTTCTGTCCCACCAACACAAGTCAGTTTAGAAAAGGGGCATTGGATTGATCATCAACCTGTGTCCAGCGTATCTGAAAATGGACCAATTACATTTTTAGCGCCCGGCACTGAAGATTATGTTGACATGTCTAAGACAATATTGGTAGCTAGAGCGAAAGTAACAAAAGCCGATGGTGGGGATATCGATGATGACACTAAAGTTGGACCTGTAAACAATTTCTTGCACAGTTTGTTCAAGCAAGTTGACGTGTTTCTAAAAGGAAAGTTAGTTACACAAGCAACAGGAACATATCCATATCGTGCATATCTCGGCACACTTTTAAATTATGGTCCGTCAGCCAAACAATCACAGCTCACCGCTGCGTTATTTTACAAAGATACTGCAGGTGAGATGGATAATGCAGATCCTACCCACGCAAGTCCAAACAGGGGTTTGAAGACAAGAAATAAGTTTATCATGGGAAGTAAAATTGTTGATATGGCAGGTCCTATCTTTTGCGATGTTTTCTTTGGTGAACGTTACTTACTTAGCTATGTTGATTTGAAAGTGGTCATGAACCGTACCAGTGACGAGTTTGTCTTAATGTCATCGGTGGACGGTGCAGCCTTTAGAGTGAAATTGATAGATGCATACCTTAAAGTTCGTAAAGTCAAAGTGAATCCTAGTATATCTCTGGCTCACGAAGTTGCCCTGAAAAAAGGTCCAGCCATTTACCCTGTAAGACGTGTGGACTGTAAAAGTTTTATTATTCCTTCTGGAAACCCTTCGCTGCAAAAAGATAACCTTTTCAATGGTTTAGTGCCTAAATCGTTTGTTTTTGGTCTTGTTGAAAGTGCGTCATTCAATGGAGCTTATAAAAGAACCCATTCAATTTCCAACATTTCAACATTTCATCGTTAGGCATTTCAATAAATGGTGAATCTGTACCATTTAAACCAATCAATTTGTCCTTTGGCGCGAATCCAAGATTTATAGAAGCATTTCTATCGCAGTTTTCAGGCACTGGGAAAATGTATTACGACACAGGCAATGGCATTACGCGTGAAGATTTCCCAAACGGTTTTGCCCTGTTCGGCGCGGACTTTACCCCCGATATGTGCAGTGCATCCGAACATTTTAACACGGTGCAAAAAGGAAACCTGGCCATTGACTTACAATTCTCGACACCGCCAACTCATGCAGTTAGCCTTGTGTGCTATGGAGAGTTTGAGAATATAATACAAATCGATGGAGAGAGAAATGTCGTTTATGACTACATTGGATAAATGAACACCTCACAAATATGGACCGCTTTGAAATCCGATCCGGTAACAGGAAAAAGATTTCTCGGCGTTTTTCCAGCCGACCGTTTGCCTAAAGAAATTGAAAGCTACCCAAAAGGATTTATCGCAAACACGGATGTAAGCGGAAAACCGGGGACCCATTGGGTTGCCTTTTACTTTCCTTCAGAAGGAAAAGCCGAATTCTTCGATAGCTATGGACCAGGGGTCTCCAAACTTTACAGCCAGAGGGCCACATGAACTTTCATCCAGCATGTTGAGGGCCAAAGAATATAAAAAATTTCCACGTTATCCTTCAGCTTTTTAAATTTCGCAGTGTGCTTGAAACGGAAGTAGGAAGTTGGGAGAAAAATTAACGTAAGCCACTCTTGCTAGTTGGCTTGCGACATAACGTAAACTTTCTGCACAAAATTTATTTTGTTTAATAATTTTTTTTTTCTGAAGTGCCTTTGCGGGCCGGATTGAGAAGCCCAACGGGCCGCATCTGGCCCGCGGGCCGTAGTTTGGAGACCCCTGCTATGGACAACCACCAGAGCGATATCATAAGTTCTTTAGAGATTATTTGAAACATTATGATTGGGGATTTAATAAACGTCAATTGCAAAGTATCTGGACGGATGTATGTGGACAATATTGTATATTTTACCTCAGCCATAGAGTGCGAGGATATAGCATGAATAAGATTGTGAACATGTTTGATGGTAATACTGTTGAGAACGATAACAAGGTATCAAGTTTCGTTAGCAGACATTTTCATATAGAAACTAGTGTAACCCTAAACGATAGCATTCAGTCAAGTATAAAATTTGTTGTAAAAGCTTGAGCCGTTTATTATCAATAAAATTTTCTTTGTAAACTAATTGCCTGTGTTTTCTATTTGCATATTCTAATGATAACAGTCAGGAAATTGATATCAACTGCTCTATTTATTTAAACAAAACAAATCTTTACATGTCAAATTTTAATAGTCTATCCAACGTAAGCGAGTTTTCTTTAGTGTAGGGTGGCTTTAGGTGTTGTCATTTTTGTTCTTGAGCCTCTGTGGTAGGCTATTCCGTCTTCTTCATCGGGCGAAGTTTCCATTTGAGCTTCTTCCCATCTTACATCGTTCCGAACCAAATCGCGAGGAATGTTTATGTTTGATAAAACGCGAAAGAATTCTCTAGAACCTGTAGGATTGAAATTCTTTCTCCCTCTTACGGCGTCGCTAATGAGGTCTGATATATTTGATTGAGGGATAATAACACCGTCAAGTTTGACTTGTCCTGAATCATCCAGAGTTATTTTATGAGGATGTCTTTTAATACGATGCAGTATTGTTGTTGCGCGTTCACGCATCGTCTTCGGCACACTTTGTACAATGACGGAGTCAGCTAATGTACGCACTTCGTTGTTTATTACCGTGTTTCTTTCTTCCCCGTCGGTTGTATCCATCACGCGTACTGTGGGTATCTGAATATCTTTTTGTTTCTTCAAATTAAGGAATTGCTCAAAGTTTGTGTTGAAAAGTTTTGCCTTTGATCGTCACTTAAACCGTCTTGGTGAAGGATGTGTGAGTTGAGTATCTTTTGCATCATGTTCATCGTAATCGGCGAAACTTCAAATTTTGCTTTTGTTCATATTTATTATAAACGTCTTCAGGTACTAAAATCATTCGCTTGGCATGCTTCATTATTTCAGCAAACTCCCTAGAACGTTCAAAACCGGTGGTAGGAAGGCGCTCAGTAGATTTCCTCCTTTTGATTTAAAAGTTTTTCTTTTAGCTCTTGAAATTCTCTTGTTCGCTAAGGCTCTGAGATGTTTCTTATACCTCAACAAGCGTCGTTTTTGACTCGCAGATATCGGTACAGTTCCTTTTAACACATTAACTGCGCATTCACAAATACACAACATGACATCAGATGGTCCATGTTCGATGATAACCTTTCGAATTTTCGGCTTAGATTTTGCAAGTACTTGTAGGTATGGAAGATTGCTCCTAATTCGTTTAGACATGGTGCTTAAATGACTGTTGATGTCGATGCTTATCACTTATGTACATAGACAATCTGCTTTTCACCGGGCAAGATATTTGTTCTGACACGCATATTGTCAGATGTGAGTTGATGCAAATCGAGCAAAATATAATCGTAAGGGCGGCATGTGGCGTCTTGAAATGACTCCAAAAGGTAATTCGTTTTCTTTGGGTACATTTGGCGTGCCAATGTTGCGATACCTAGCGAATCTCTGGGGTTTTTAAAAATGATCATGTAGTGGGAATTTAAGCTGATTGTTCGGGATTGTTTACCAGGCGGAATTAAATTTTGTGTTAGATACATGACAGAGACGCCAGGGTGATGTGACCCGCGGGTAAATAAATCGGACATTCGTTGATCGCTAGAACATTCTGACATCAAATCGTCAACGACCACTAAAGAGTTTTGACAACCTTCCAGAATAAGCATTAACATTTCCTAACATTTTTAACATTTCCTTCATTACATTTTTTCCTTCATAACATTTTTTAACATTTTAACATTTTTACATTTTTACATTTTTACATTTTTACATTTTTTAACATTTTAACATTTTTTAACATTTTTTACATTTTTTTCCTTATAACATTTTTTAACATTTTAATGTTTTTTTAACATTTCCTTCGACGAAGCAAATGTTTGGAATTTTTGATTCCATTTCACCAAATTCCCTTTGCCGTTCGCCGTAACAGTAAATAATTTTATTCAGAACTGGATAAAAAAGTTCATTTAAATTATAAAGCATCGACCTAACCAAATAGCTTTTGCCCGACTGACTTTGACCACACACATAAAAGTTGGCATGTGTTTTAAAACGTACGTCCATTGTCTCGCAAATAAAAGCAAACATGCTCTGCTTTCACTCTTATAACCACTCGCGCTAGTAAGCATTTTGACATATTCAAAGAAAGACGGTATGATTCGACTAGCTTGAATGGGAGGTATTTGTAAAATAGTGAACAAAGTGCACACAATAAGAATACATTGGACAATGAACAATTTTTATTAAATATTTTTCTAATTATCTACATCAATCAAGCAACAAAAATCTCTATTGATTATATATGAGCACATCATACTTTAGCAGATATTTATGACAGAAAATTTTGAAAAGCACTTGAGGGTTTACTTTAAAATCCTCACAAGCATAGGCATGTCTTTTAATCGTTCATTCATTTTGTAACTACATTCATAGTTCGCAACATTCATATTTCACAAGAGTTGTTTGTAACTTTTCCAATTTTCCATAATGAATTCCTTGCTGTCTGTATGTTTTTTCCTTATGGCTGTGCAAACCACGGTGAAAAATGCGGTTATGTGAAGCGATATCATATGTTAGATTGTTCTAACATGGATCTCAAGCATGTTCCTGTCAGAACGGTAAAAGATGCACGAATACGGATTTTGTCGTTGAGACGAAACAACATTAAAGGTGTGAATGAACTGGATGTTATTCCGTGCGTACCCAAGACTTATGTACATTGATTTACGTGAAAACCCTCTGTCCTGTCCTGTCAATTTCTCAATGTTAAATGTGTTGTTTGATCCGTGTCCAGCCCGAAAGAAAGATTTATATTTGTTGTCTGTGAACTCATTTTCGCTTGTGACACAACTTTTTCCGTATACGTCAACCACAAGCAATCGTTTGCCTCAGTCATCAGTCAGTTTTTCTCTTCTACCATCGTCGTTGATTATGTCCACCCCATGTAAATCATCTCACGTTCCGTCGTCCCGCCAAAAGTTTTATATTCGCCCCTCACGGATTTTTTTTTTTTTTTTTTAACATGTCAACCTCCATTTCAACCTCATCACCGTCGCTGTTGTTATTGTCTACATCTTTGCGGTTGTCGCCGTCCACGCCGTCAATTCCTCCACATTCAACGATATCATTCTCAACTTCAAAGTCATCGCCTCTGTTGTCGTTATTACCACTGTTACCCCACTATCACCATCAGCATCATCACCGTTTCATTCGCAGCTGTCGTCTTCGTCTTTATCGTTATCACCGTCACTGTCAGAATCAATGGTATCGTCTTCATCGTTCATGTATTTAGTTCCATCAGCGAAAGAAACAACTGTCAACTTTTATGTGTTGGTTCCTTCTACGATAGTTTCCATATTTGTCTGTATAACGTTGATGTATTGCATGGCTCGCAATTGTCGTCGCTGTTTCCCGTCTGCACATACCGATCACATAGAAATGACTGCGTATCGTGTTCAATCATCGTTAGCCTTGTCCAGTGTAGAAATGTGTCAAACAACCTCAGTCTAAAAATGTGTATATTTGTTTGTTAGTTTACATGTCATTGATTCGAAACTGTTTAACTATTCAACGCTGTTTGATTATATGCATGTCACTTTATTAATTTACCTGTCTCGACTCTATACTTGATTATCAATCTGTCTGTAAAACGAAAGTTCACTGTCGGAGTGATCAATGTCGTCAAGAAACTCCACATCGGATTGTCTTTCGGAAAAGCTTTCTTCGTCTTCAGAGTCGGTTTCCATTAAATCAATCGACTCGCTGCATTCACCTTGACCTGTCATACATTCATTGTAATTTTCTAGTGCGGTTGGATGCACGGATGTGAATAAAATATCATTAGCCACGGCTTCGCGTGCGATCTGAGGTAAACTGTTGGAAATTTCCGCTGACGGAAACCAATTATAGCCGTAGTGAATGGTATCGGCACCTCCGTCTATTATTATACGTTTGTCAAAGACAACTTGATATTTCTTAATTTGATTTTTATTTACAAGTTTATGCGACCATTTCTCCCTGACTATTTTACTTTCTTCTATTTGTACAGTTGACGGTTTTTCAACATAATTATAAATCATATCTTTTAACGTGTCGAAGTTTAAAAGCAAGCTATTTTTAAAATTCAATGTAAAGCCTCTTATTTTACAGTGTTGCTCGCCATTACTAACTGTAAAAGCATAATTCTTAGGCCCCCACAGACAAATTCAGTAATGTGTTCGCCTTCACCAATTTCATCGGTCAAATCTCCTAAATAGTCTCCTAAAGGAGGCTTTGGAGAATCAGGCTTTGCAACATACACACAACTGTCTGTGTCGACATAGAGCGAATTAATTCCTAGTAAATCTAACAAACTGTAGAGCTCCAAACGTGCCCATGTAGTTGTAAAAATACCAATAAAAATATTTGTTGTTTTATTTTCTTTTTGAAACTCCCAATCACGCTTGTATACAACTTCGACTAAATCATCATTCAGTAATTGCATGTCGTGAATTTCAGTGTCTGCGCTATTTAATCGTTTGTAAAATACAAGCGGATCGTGAATAAACTCCGTAATTAACATATCATTACGTTGTGCAAATTTACCCCAAAGCGAGTTTAAACAAAGTTTTGCTAGCGCTCTTAAACCTGGATTTTTCACAATTATTTCCTTACGCAATTGAATTCCCTCGTGCTTTAGATAGTCGTCGATATATTTTACCTGGTCTGCGTCTGAGTTTACCCAATCCGGAAAGCCCGAAGCTTCTTGTTTCAACCGCAAAAAGAAATTTACATATTCACTAAATAAACTGTCCGATGTTTCTTCAAAATGCCAAATTTCATGCACCTCCAAAATTTTGTAGCCTTTTTCGATTGCCTTGCTCATTTCAATGGTCGTAAAAGTCCCGCAAAATGAACGCCGGTTTTAGGAATGATGACATTCTGCTGAGGCTGTTATAGCACATTGCTTACACAATGGAAACATTAATTTACCATTAACTTTCATCGGGAGCACGGAATGATACAAGCCTGCCGGTGCCAAAACGCGACACTTAATCAAACCGAAGTAATTTGAAAGATCTTCAAAATTTTTGCGAATAATTGTAGGGTGACCTATAGGATAACGGCAATTTTTCATAACGAATGGATAAAGACTTGTAAAATCGTTATAAAAGATTTTCTCATTTTCTTCGGCCTTACGAAACAGTTTAAAACCCTCAACTCTTCCACCAAAAAAGCTATCGGCAGGGTAAAGGTCTGTTATAAATTCATGTGTGTTTAAAAAATGCTGCATTTGAGGAGTTTGTCTGAGTTGCTTGAAATCATGCTCCCATATGGTTTTTACTTTATATCCTAACTCCGTTAATCTTTTTTCACGGTCAATGGTTCGGTTATATGCTTCTCTTGGCGTTGTACCTGTACGGTAAGGATTTTCACTCTTCAAATCCAGGCATAAAGGGCAGCCGTGATAAACTTTTCCGTAGAACTCATACACGGTGTTTGTGTCTTCACAAAATCCGTCGACATAATAATGTTTATTTAACAACGAGTCATGAATAACTTTCTCCCCCCCATTATGAAGAGCGTGTTTGATATTGCTTTTTGTTTGAAAGGAAACAAACTCCAGCCACTCAATGGCACTGTTTGAATACGGTTTATTGCTATCACGATACATATTCCTGGGTACAATGCCAATGGTTTTTTCTTTTAAATAGTTTGAATGAAACACTGCCATGACCGAAGATGCAATTGTGCAATAACAAAATGGGTCTACACGTGTTTCGGCCAAAAACAACTTTCTGAATTCCATGCAACACAAACGCAAAATAGTTACATCTTGAGAACAGTATTTGTACATTTCTTTTTGAAAGTCCAAAACGTATCCCTCATCAATTAAGTTCTGATGCCATGCAATTAGCTCATCTCTTTTACATTTTGACTTTGCGTCGGGGCTATAATATTCAAGAGCCAGAATAGGTCCAACGTATTTCTGATTTTCTCGTGTGTTAAATTTAAAAGGGAAATCGCCTTTCGAATACATCGACAGATCTAATCCAAACGTTTCGGGCAAATCGGAAAGAGGCATACTTAGGAAGTTTAACGAGTCGATTAGCGTCATCTGATAATCTTTTAAAAATAGTTCCATTACTTTCTGACCCGAATGAATGACATGCATATCGGATGTCGGCCGATATTGTATGAGCCATTTTTGAATGATAACAGCGTCAAATCCTTTGGCATTATGGGCAATTGCTGTATAGCCTATATGCTCTCTTAAAAACAGAAACTCACAAAAATCATTTAATGCATTGTATCCTTGGAAAAGACGTTCGTCTCCTGAAGCATACTGTAAAACTGCAAAATTCACAACGTGCTCACCGCTTGTAAAATCCGTTTCAAAATCGTAGAAAATGAGTTTAACATTTGGCTTTTTTGCTGGTTCGGGTTGAAAAAAACATAAATGCCCACTAACAACCAGCTGTTTGCAGATATGACACTTAAAGTCTCCGCACTTGTGTTCGTCTTGTCTATTTCTGTTGACAATGACACTGCATGTACGGCATTTATACGTGCTGTCACATTTTGAGGGAAGATCAAGTCCTTTTAATCTCCGTTGTTTTTTATGTAGGTTGTAACATGTATTTGAGCGGCAGGTCTTATAACAGTCAGGGCATTCATGCAGCTCCGATTCAATTAATGCACATCCTTTGTGTAGGCATGTATTGCAGACATCAAAACATGGGTGATCAATATAGCTGCTTACAAAGCTTGAACACTGTTCACAGTAAAATCTTTTACCGAAAAAAGCTGGGAGCTTTGCCGGATTGATAACATTGAAATGATCTCCGTGTTTGTATAGCATTAGCTTTTTTACTCTTCTAGGCCCTTCATATATTGAAGTGTTTCGTGCATCAAAGTCTATTACAATAATTTGATAGTCTGAAAGAACACCTTGAAACTTTGAAATTTCCCTCAATCCGCATTTACCCGGCAAAATATTGGCACGTTTTTGCAACTTTAAGGCTAATTTTTTTTTGTATAGGTCTACCCATCTTCATTTGTTTTAATTTTGGATGGTGGTCAGCCATCCCTATGGCTACAGCTAAAGCCCGAGCGCAGCATAGGTTATCATTATTCTTGATAGTTACAATCGATTTTTTTAAAGTACTGTCTTTAGAGTAATCTAAGACTTTGAAGGCCTTACCACTCCCAACAGGCGCTTTTACACCAATAAGGTCGATAAAGTAAATGGCTTGAACCCGGGAGTATCGTTATATGTTTGTAAATGATGATCGTCCAGGTTAATAAAGTCCTGAGAAGGACTGTTTTTGATGTTGATGACTGACCGACAATTAGCAGTAGTCATCTTCAGAGTCAATGAGGTAAACGTCAGGTTAGCCAGTTTTGTCTGGTTCTTACGTCATTGTATTGTGTGTACAGGAAATGTGCGGAATGTGTATTGTCATGTGGATTAGTGTGAAGTGAAATATTTTATTTTTGATGTGATGTGATAGGTGTGACGTTTTAGTTGTAGTGGTGTAAAATTGTGTATTGTCATTGTGATTAGTTTGAAGTGTAATGTTTTTAGTTGATCGTTTGTTTGTATTGTGAATAAAGTCGTTTGTAAGGTGCCGGTAATTGCTGTGATCTGTTCAGGTTTGTTCCAAGTTGGTATACCAACTTTCTAATGTAAGCCGTTGTCTATAGTCAGTACTGTAAGTGATGCATTTTGCCGAGTCCCAGTCAATGTTGTGCTTTGAGACTATCTCGCGTATCTTACGACCATACAACATACGTGTCGCACATAAACCAATCACAACATTACGACAAGTACTAACGAACATAAAGGACAAAGAACAACCCAACGAACGACAAGGTGCAGTTTACAAAATAAGTCTGCTGCCACGCCTCCTATATCGGGGAAACTGGCAGGAACTTAAACATAAGACTTACTGAGCACAAACGAGCTACTAAGAAACAAGACAAAACTAATCACATTGCCGAACATCACCGAATCACAAAGCACAACATTGACTGGGACTCGGCAAAATGCATCACTTACAGTACTGACTATAGACAACGGCTTACATTAGAAAGTTGGTATACCAACTTGGAACAAACCCCCCTGAACAGATCACAGCAATTACCGGCACCTTACAAACGACTTATTCACAATACAAACAAACGATCAACTAAAAACATTACACTTCAAACTAATTCACAATGACAATACACAATTTACACCCACACATTACAACTAAAAACGTCACACCTAAATCACACATCACAACTAAAAATAAAATATTTCACTTCACACTAATCACATGACAATACACATTTCCTGCACATTTCCTGTACACACAATACAATGACGTAAGAACCAGACAATAAATACGGCTAACCTGACGTTTACTCCTCATTTGACTCTGAAGATGACTACCGCTAAGGTTGTCGAAACGTCAGTCAACAACATCAAAAACAGTCCTTCTCAGGACTTTATTAACCTGGACGATCATCATTTACAAACATATAACGATACTCCCGGGTTCAAGCCATTTACTTTATTACGATCATTTGGACGACAGAGCGAACAACTTGCTAACGACTACATACGTTTTGCAAGCAACGTCAGACGCATACGCCAACAACTCTGGTTCAACCACCGCTGCAAGGATTTTGGTCTCGTTCCGACAGGACTTAGAATTAAGTCTCCGTTGAACACACAAGAGGCTATTCAGATTGTCAAATCCACCAGCAGACGACTGATACGAGCACGGATTAACGACTGTCACAGACGAATCAACTATTACATCAAACAACAAGAACAAAGACTGAACAAACTGAAGGAACTCATACCAACGACAGTAAGTGATACTTTACTTTCTACCATACAAACTATTGCAGAGAAACGAGCAAACAAGACAGAGACACAACACCAAATCAAACAACAACAAAAACTTGAACGTTTAAAACAAACTAAAACACGTGCAAGACATAAACATGACGATAACTGGGTGAGGAATATTTCTTCCCGCCCATTAGACGAAACTGAAACGCGACTACTATCTTACGGACTAAAACATTCCATAACACCTAGACAAATCCCGACTGAGACGATAGTATCAAGTGTCGAGGCTGTCCTAGCGTATCAAAGAGACTTGTCAGAGACAACAAAGACGAGATCAGAAGCAGGATAGCCTCCACTTTACAATCGTCCTCTATACGTGACAACAACTTGACAAAAGACGAACAACAAGCACTCAAACGACTAAAACACGACAACAACATCGTCATTTTACCAGCAGACAAAGGACGCGTGACTGTGGTCATGGACAGGAATGATTACTTTAACAAAATGGACGCACTTGTTAACGACAGACAAACGTACGAACAACTCAAACGAGACCCAACACCATCACTAGTACGCAAACTTAACAGCAAGATCTTCTATGAGAAAATCTAACATTATATCTGAACGTATTTACTATCGACTCAGATGTTCAGTACCACGACCACCCAGACTATACGGACTACCAAAACTTCACAAACCACAAATACCCATGCGACCAATTGTATCATTCTGTGGTTCGCCTACTTACGAACTTTCAAAGTACTTGACTAACATACTGCAACCACTTACAAACAAATCAAAACACAAGCTACAATCCACTGAAACTTTCATTAAAAACTGTGCACTATACAAATACCAGACAACTATATACTAGTGTCTTTTGATGTGAAATCACTGTTCACCAGTATTCCACTTAATCTGGCACTTACTTGTACAAAAACCCTCATTACAAACACCACGGACGTACTGCCATTACCGACAGAAGACATTATGGAGTTACTAGAGCTCTGCCTCACCTCGACTTACTTCCAATACAAAGGAACACACTACAAACAATTACATGGGACAGCAATGGGCTCGCCCGTTTCTGTTGTAGTTGCTGAAATTGTAATGCAATCTATAGAGGAACGGGCACTCATGACTTACAAACATGCACTACCTTTTTGGTTTCGCTACGTAGATGACACAATCACAGCACTACATGCAGACGAGATTGATGACTTCCATACTCACATCAACAAACAGAACAGCCACATACAATTTACCAAAGATGTCGAAGAAAACGGAACTCTTCCTTTTCTCGACTGTTTGGTAAAACATGACAATCAAAACTAGGAACAACAGTTTATCGCAAGCCAACACATACTGACCGACTACTAGACCAATCATCTTACAACCCTACATCACACAAAGCCACCACAATCAGAACATTAACAAGACGTGCACAAATCATATGTGATTCACCGGACGCTCTACAAAACGAAAACAACTATCTCAAACGTGTTTTGACAAAACAACTATAACTCTGACTTTATCAAACGCAACACTTACAAACCCAACGAACCCAACGAAACGAACAACTCAGTGACAACAGCAACGATACCTTACATCAAAGGTACGTCTGAGACTATCTCGCGTATCTTACGACCATACAACATACGTGTCGCACATAAACCAATCACAACATTACGACAAGTACTAACGAACATAAAGGACAAAGAACAACCCAACGAACGACAAGGTGCAGTTTACAAAATAAACTGCTCCGACTGCCACGCCTCCTATATCGGGGAAACTGGCAGGAACTTAAACATAAGACTTACTGAGCACAAACGAGCTACTAAGAAACAAGACAAAACTAATCACATTGCCGAACATCACCGAATCACAAAGCACAACATTGACTGGGACTCGGCAAAATGCATCACTTACAGTACTGACTATAGACAACGGCTTACATTAGAAAGTTGGTATACCAACTTGGAACAAACCCCCCTGAACAGATCACAGCAATTACCGGCACCTTACAAACGACTTATTCACAATACAAACAAACGATCAACTAAAAACATTACACTTCAAACTAATTCACAATGACAATACACAATTTACACCCACACATTACAACTAAAAACGTCACACCTAAATCACACATCACAACTAAAAATAAAATATTTCACTTCACACTAATCCACATGACAATACACATTTCCTGCACATTTCCTGTACACACAATACAATGACGTAAGAACCAGACAATAAATACGGCTAACCTGACGTTTACTCCTCATTTGACTCTGAAGATGACTACCGCTAAGGTTGTCGAAACGTCAGTCAACAACATCAAAAACAGTCCTTCTCAGGACTTTATTAACCTGGACGATCATCATTTACAAACAAATAAGGTC